TCGGGATTTCAGAAACTCTAATCTCAGAACCTCAGAATCTCAGAATCTCAGAATCTCAGAATCTCAGAATCTCAGAATCTCAGAATCTCAGAATCTCAGAATCTCAGAATCTTAGAATCTTAGAATCTCAAAATCTCTAAATCTCAGGATCCTAGAATCTCCGAATTTCAGAAATCTTTTTTTTATTTTACAGATTTTTGATACCTGTTGTAGAAATTGAGATAATTGAGCTCAAATGTGCACGTACAGGGTGGCTTTTACTAAAGCAAATACAGTGAATACAAACATTTATTACACAAAATATATACAGTATCCTTTTAGGAAAAAAAAAATCAATTCAAAGGTTTTAATGGATTTAAATATCTCACTCTTGTCGCTGAACTAACTCTTTGCTTTCGGGACTGATGATAATTGGACATGAACATGACAAATCTGAACTTTTCATTTTCATTTTTAAAATTAAAATTTCACGCCTACCCATCAGCCACCTGAGTGATTAAATTGGACCCCAATGTTACTAGAAATATTACAAAACCATCGTTGACACTATCTCTGATAAACAAGCTGTTTACAGTATCCAAAACGTAAATCCAGTCTTCAAAACAGTTTTGAATAAAAAGTCGGATTGTAGTTTTTCTTCTCTGTCTGCTAGTTTCATTGGAGAGGCTTTGGGATTTCTGGAAACAAAATTTCAATTTGAAGGCTATTTTTGAAACCTTACTGATAACAAAAACAAATTGATAGCGATAAAAATGTTCATAAAGTTCGAGAATAATCCTAGTGGAAGGACGAGGAACAAGAAATCACTTTGCAGGATAAAATGTATAATATATGGACATTCTTCATGAATCCAGGTGAGTTTCTGGTGGCTAAATTTGATTAGACAGGATTCTAAAGTCCTCAAAATTAGATTCTGATGCAGTGAGTGTCTAGCAAACCTGGAAATCCAATTAGGGTTGAAAAGTAGAAAGCAATAATCCAACAGAACGCTAGGGATCCTATAGTGATCCATTTGCTGTACCAAGGAACAATAATCGGTTGAAAATAGACTATTAAGAATCGATTGATAGTGATAAGGGCTTGAGTGAGAGGTCCTGAAAAGAACTTCAAGTTAAAAACACCCAAAATAAGTTGAGATACCTTGACAATACAAACCATAGGCAATAGCTTGGTTTAGGTACCGATTCAACCATTCTGGACCAATTTGGGTGTACCTGGAACGGTTTTAATTAATTTTGAAGTTTTTTTTTCATTTGAAAATTCAAACTCTGCATGTTTTCAACTTCAAAACCCAAACACGACCATATTCTGACGAATTGGATTGTTCCTGGGATTACGAAGAACGGCATTTAACTTTTGACTTTGGCCCAATTTATCTCGGTCCCCGTCGAAGATATTAAAAAGATAAAACTGATAAATTGTTTATCATTATATCATAAGTGTTTTGTTCGTTGACACATTTTTAGTATTTTGGATAGGAATTGAGATAATTGAGCTCAAACTTGACAGTGTGCTCTCATACTAGCCTACCCTATACGTGCACTTTGAGACGAATTAACTCGGTTCCTTCGAAATATGTCAAAAATGTTCAACTGATAGAATACTTATCATAATAACCAATATTTTATCAGTTGACAGATTTTTGATATCTCTCATGTGGACCGAGATAATTGAGCTCAAATGTAGGTACAGTGGTTAAACTCACAACAACGCCGATGGTCCATTATAAGCCAAATAAACCAAAAGATGCAAAGAATTAGAAATGGTTTTTGAAATGCACATTATATAAAAATTTGTCTTCTCTTGTGATAAATACTGATAAAATGCGGATACATTGAAAAATAGACCAATTAGGGAGACCAGAATCATTAAAACGCCACCAAATTGAGCGGTGAAGAAGTCCACAGTTGTCATTTTTTGTTTTAATCGAAAAACTATAAAATTCTGTCCCAAAAACTTGTTCAGAAATACGAATAGAGAAAAATGTGATTCAGACTGATACACGAGGGAGAAGGGGGCAGCTAAACAGGTTAGCAAGAACTTAACGAGTCATATTGTGGCGGGTCACCAATTTTTTTGGCTTCTTACTTTTTGATTTTTTGATTTTTGATTGTTCCTTGATGTTTGAATAAAACTAGGATATTTTTTATTCTCGCGAATAAAAAAAAACAAAAAAAAAGTTTGCCGCCAGCAGGGGTCGAACCTGCGACCTTGGGCTTATTAGACCCACGCTCTAACCGACTGAGCTATGGCGGCACAGATCTGTGCGATTCGAATTGCCTATATGTGATAGCGGGAACGAAACAATGATAACAAAGTGAGGAGGCACTCTTATCAATAACTTGAAGAACAGAGTCTGTCGTGTCCTCGGTAGTATAGTGGTGAGTATCCGCGTCTGTCACATGCGAGACCCGGGTTCAATTCCCGGCCGGGGAGGAACTTTTTTTAACTCTCAACAATGGATTTTGAGAATCACTAACTGAATTCAGAAGAAATTGGAATAAAAATGATTCAAAATAAATCTGATCTTTCCGGTAAGAGTGGTCCCAAAGCAGGACCGTCGGTCCCATCATTGGACCACCGGTCCCAACGACTATAAAATTACTAACCGAATTCAGAAGAATCTGAAATTGAAATGATTCAAGATAAATCAATTTTGCGGTGTGTGGCTTGGGTTTCAGCCAGAATTCTGTATGATACTTTCGCTAGACTATTAAATTGTAAAACTATAATCTAAGAGTTCTAATCATCATTCATCAGTTTGTTATCGAATACGACATGAAGCGATCCCGAGGAAGACTACAAAGAACGAAGAATATGTCTGAAAACTGAAGACCCTAAAATTTAAACAACTGAAAAGACCGTTTAAAAAAATCTATGACATTTATTGAAAGAAAAAACCCGTTTGCTCACAATCAATAGGATAATATCATATGTAAACTTTGAAAAAAAGCCAATTGAAAAAGGAAACCCGTAAAATAAAGGAATGGAGAAATATGTACAACTTGAACCCTTAATAATGAATTCAAGAAAAAAAGAGGAATTTGAAGAGGACCCGAAATTTAAAGAGAATGAAAGTGGAAGTCATTTTGGGAAGAACTGTGAAGAGCTGATGAGTTAGAAGAGGTAGAAGACTATGGTAGAGGTAGAAGATAGAAGATTATGAGGTAGAAAACTATGATAAAGAGAAAGGGAAAAAGCCAGGAGAGGACAAGAAGCAGATGGAGGAATCTGGAGCATGAAGGAAAACAAAGAAGGAGTGGAGGACGAAGATGGAAGGAACATAATCGGTAAGAAGACAGAAGTAAGGGATGGATCGGGAGTAAGGTAAGAAAAATAACACAGAAGATAAAAAAAAGAAGAAATAATTATTCAAAAATCCTATTTGTACTCCATTTCTGCCTGCAATTCGATCCATCCTTCCTTCTGCTGGTCAATCTGCATGCCGAGCAATAGAGCGGAGTTGTCCGACCAGAGCTTCTTAGCTTCTGGAGTCATTTGCTTCCAGAGATCGGCTGAAAATGGTTAATTGATATAAAAATGTGAAGCCTAGTTCATTCTACCTAGATTACTGTTGTTCTCTATTTAGATACCGTAAAATCTGTAATAGAAGGCTTTTTCTCAAATATAGAAGCCAACACTATACGTTTACTTTGAAATCAATTATCTCAATTTCTAGATCTTAAAGGTGGGGGGACAGGAGATTTTTCGTAGTTTTTTTGTAGCTAGAGTATGCATCTACCATCACAACGCTTAATGTCACTCTGCGTACAGCGGTCGTCCTCGCCTTTATGTATGCAATCAGGCGCCCGCTCCAGTTTCGCCCGCATGGCTCAGTCGGTAGCGGCGCCGCACCTTCAATACTCGCCTCGACAAGTTCAACTCCTCGAGGGGCATATTTAAGCAGAATTTCGAGAACATTATTTTTTCATGACCCCCCACCTTTAATGTACACATATAGGGTGGGCTTCAAATTAAGCACACTGTCAAATTTGAGCTCAATTATCTCAGTTTCTATACAAGATATCAAAAATGTGTCAACGAACAAAATACTTATGATATTGTGATAAAAATTTTATCAGTTGACAAGTTTTTGATATCTTCGACAGAAACAGAGAAAAATCGGCTCAAATTAAAAAGTTAGGTGGTCCTTCTATGTATTACAGGTTTTACAGTAGTTTCTCACATTCCTCAAAATTTAACTTTAAAGCTCAAACTCACCCAGTTCCCCTCGTTTGATCGTCTTCTTCCTCTTGGCCTCCGCATTGAACATGAAAAGATCCTTGCCATTAGAGACCTTTCTCACTTTCTGCGGCAGCTCTTGAGGTCCAGTTGGATCGAAGAGATGGAGCTTGAGCTCTGAAGTTTTAGATGTGAATTTTGCTCATGAAAAAGTTAAGCAACTCACCAACACCTTCCATTTGGAAGTTCCGAAGATTGGGATCTTCCATCCAGCTTCGGAGCGCGTTCCCGAAATCGGATTCATTTAGGAGACGGTAGAGGCCATCAGGGAGCTCGGGATGGAGCTGCGGCGGAATCTCGTCCTCCAAATGCTCCCAGTCGTCCAAGTCCTCCAAGTCCTCCGAGTCCGAGTCGCGATCTCGACGAGCCCCTCTGCTTCTCTTGGCTGGTGTTGGAGCATTTTCTGAGCCATCCGAACCTTGGATCTGGGGATCCATACCAACTCGCCGCTTCTGTGGTCTACCACGACCTCTGCTGGTTAGAGCTGATGCAGGAGCAGCTTCTGACCCATCTGGAGACTCCGGACGTGATGTTGACCTGGGATTCTGTGGAGATTGACAAGGGGCGGAAGGCATTGGCTCTTCATCATCTTCTTCTTCATCTTCATCATCATCATCTTCTTCTTCATCTTCTTCTTCTTCATCTTCTGCTTCAACTTCTTCTTCATCTGGACTGAAGAACGCCTCCAATGCTTCTCCAGCCTCCTCATTTCCAGCCACCGTAGGATCCCGCACAACTTGGAGATCGGGAAAATCTTTCATAAAAAGAAGGTGTAGGAGAAACTGCTGCTCCTTGATCCCCCTATCACGTTTCAGCATTTTTGCTTGAAACCTTTTCTTTTCTTCCTTCGCAATCCTTAATCTTTCCTCGCGTGCTCTCTCTTTCTCCTCGTTCCTCCTCTTTTTCTCTCGCTTCATCGCTTCGAGCTTTTTCTTCGTTTTCAAGGCACGCTTCTTCATTTCGGCGGTGTACCTCTTCACTTCGCCGGCTTCTGAAAATTTGAAATAAGAATTTGAATAAACTATTTCGCAAGTTTCCCTAGATACAAAAAAAATAAATATTCACCTGTCATTTGCTTCTCGGTGGCATCCGGGCGTGGCCAGCTTCCCGGTCCGAGCTCCTTTATTGCTGAAAAAAGATAGATAATAATTTAATAGCTTGTGCTTAAATTTAGTTCCATATTTGATTTTTTGAACCTTCTTTGCTCATTATCTACAATTTTATCCACAATCTAGAATAATTTTTTAGTATTACGAACCTAGATTTTCATATTTCAAGGCTTTATATCATAACTTACAAAATAGATAAGAACGAGGAAATATACCGCAAAACCTGGAAAAGAAGGGTCCCCACACTGTCAAGTTTGAGCTGAATTATCTCAGTTCCTATAGAAGATATCAAAAATCTGTCAACTGATAAAACATTGTTGAAATTATGATAAACAATTTATCAGTTGACAACTTTTTCATATCTTTTACAGGTACCGAGATAAATTGGCTCAAAGTAAAAAGTTAGTGTCCGCTCTTTGAAAGGTTTTAGGGTAGGCGTAAATTTGGTTTTTCTCTAATCACAGCGTACACTTGGGTCTAAGGCAACGGGTCAGAAATATCGCCCCAGTAAACGTGACATTTTAGGGAAAATTCGCTGCTGAATTATTTGGCTGACAATCAAACTTTTGAACGTTGGGCGAAAAAATCACGCGTTGCAACTCGTTGATTACAATTAATTATTAGGTTGGCGGGAAAGTCTTTGTCACTTTTTCAATAGTTTATTTCTCAAAGAAAAAATAACCGAATAATTAATTATATTGTCCATCATTATCAACAACATGTCTCCAACGTTCCCTCAATTTATGGATTCCATTGCGGTAGAATCCAGCCGGGCGTGAGGCAAAGTATTGTTTGAGTGCCGCTTCGACCGCTCCACGGGAATTGAAGCTTCTTCCTTCGAAGGCACGTGTCATATCGCCAAATAACCAATAGTCGGAAGGAGCAAGATCAGGAGAATACGGGGGGTGAGGGAGAACATTCCATCCATATCCCATCAGCTCCTGCTTCACTTGTTTCGAAACATGTGGGCGAGCGTTATCATGTTGATAGTACACTTTCTTGTCTTTCAGGGCCGAACGGTCGACTGCTTTCTTGAGATTTCGTAGTTGAGTAGTGTAGAGGTCTCCAGTTATTGTTTTGCCCTCGGGCAGAAGTTCCCAGTAGATGGGGCCGTCCACTCCCCACCACACAGAGAGCATAACTTTTTTCGGATGAAGGTCGGGTTTGGGGACATCCTGTGGGCTCTCTCCTTCTCCAACCCACTGGGATTTCCTGTGGTGATTATCGTAGAAGACCCACTTCTCATCTCCGGTTATTAGCCGGTCCAGCCATCGATCGCCCGCGTGGAGAGTGAGAAGAGTAATCGAATCGTCGACTCGGCGGTCAAGGTTGGCTTGAGTCAGGTGATGAGGTATGAATCGACCAAAAAGTTTTCTCATTCCAAGAGACTTCAAACCTTCAAGGACTGTGCTATGGTGAACTCCGAATGTGACAGCTAGTTCACGGCTAGATTGAAATGGATCCGATTGCAATGCGTGCTTCAGCTTGTCCAAATCCAACTCACGGGGTCTCCCAGAGCGATCCTTTTCATCGAGCGAGAAGTCATCTTTTTCGAAACGATGGAACCAATTGCGAATAGTATTGTAGTGAGGGGCATGTGTGTTGTACACATTCTTCAAGAAAGTTTCCGAATCCTTCATCGTGGTGTGAGATAGGAAGAGGTAAATCAAAACATGTCTGATGTGAATAGCAGTGGGAACAAACATATCGTTTCAATTACAGATGAGGAGCAGGGAAGGAGATGGGGACTTGTTTATATGGAAGGTTCTTATCACCTTGTTATTCACTAAAGTCGATATCATACACAGCCTCCATATACGAGACCAGTGATTAAACAAACAGAGTGACAAAGACTTTCCCGCCAACCTAATAGGTCAAATCCACGTCAACTTTAAATTATAAAACTTCTTCTGGCCTAAAAATTATTTGGGGCGCGTTTTTGACCCGCTGACTTGGATCCAGGTGAGAGTATGGTTTTAACGTTCTGCTGCATATTTATGATATCAGATAAGTGAAACAAAGCCCGACTATTTAATTACGCTAAAACTACGCTCAAGTTCAGTTAAGTTCTTTTTTCGGGTTCGAATAGTTGCCGAATTCCAGTATAATCGCAACTATAGTTTTAAAGGTGTTTCTTACTGTAGACTAGAAATTTGATTTTTGTCTGTTTTCCTCTCAATATTTGAAAAAAAAAACTAACCGGCCTCTACATCATCGTCATTCAGTTGTGGAGCTTCTCGTGGCTCGTCAATTGGAGCTTATTTTCTATACTTATTCTAAACTTCAGCGCCTCTGTGCTCGTTACCTATTTCTCACTATTCCCGTGCAACTTTTATTTGCGATCCTAACCTTTTACATTCCTGGACCTTTCTAAATTTCAGAAATTTGACAGGGTTGTGTTTCTACCCTTAAATAACTTTCCTAAAAGATTTTATACCGTAAACACTCTATTAAAGTGCCACCCAAACCGTCAACTTTAAACCCATATATCTTGGATTCTGTGTGAGATTTCATAAAGAGACCAATTGACAAAGTAATTTTGATATCATGATCAACATATTGGCAGTTTACCACTTTTTCATAACTTTCACAGAAACCGAGATATGGGATCAAAGTTGACGACTAGGGAGGATTTCTATTAGAGTGTTTACAGTAGTTTGAAAAGTACTTTTGCTAGGCTGAAAACTTGGCCTTACAATAAATTAACTCTAGTCTCAATCTAGTCGCATTTCTTCAACATTCTGGTGCATGTGATATCAGATAAGTAAAACAAGAAACGCAACGGTCAAACAGATAGTAAGTTGATCTCATTTTTCAGGTCCAAATCGTTGCCGAATTTCCAGTTAAAAATTCAAAAAAGATTTAACCTTGCCCGTCATATGCTATCATATCAGTTTAAAAAACTAACCTTCACCTTCATCATCACTCGAGTCCGGCCGGGTAGCCTCTCGTGGTTCGGCAATTGGAGCTGGTGGTGGTGGAGCTGAAACAAACAAGTGTTATCTTAAAAGTACTTCTAGCCGACAGCTCCGCTTTTCTTGTTATCTACCACAATCAGTATCAGTGGTTATGCTCTTACTGCTCCAGGAAACAACAAATTCTGCTAAAATCTAGCTCACTACCTTTCCTGAGTCCGAATAGCCAAGCTTCCGAGAAGTTTCAATTATAGTTAAAAAAGAATTTCATAGTCTAGACTGCGACTTGGTCTTACAATAAATATGCTCTAATCTCCATATTTCTAACTGTTACGGAGTTAGTTAAACCCTGATACTGAGATCTTTTTTGCCCATTTTTCTCAAACTCACCTTCTTGGCTATGACTTGCGTCCATCTGTGGAGCGCCTGATGGACCAGCATGCGACGAAGATGGCTGCGACGTCGATGGACCTGCTGAAACAAAAAATCTAATCTCTCATTATTTATGTAATTTTTTTATCTTGTTATCTATCCGGATAATTTTGTCCTTTGTGTTTTCATATGTGTACAATTCAGTACTTCCGTTTTTCAAATTCAATTTCTTTGACAAATTAGCTTAAATTCCAATTAGATTCGAAAAAATTTTCCTATACTAGACCACCCATCTTTTTGCCGCGCCTCCGGCGCTTCAATCAGGCATTTCAGTGTTTTGTATCCTATGCTAGATTGCAAACTTTGCATCCAATCTCAATTTGGCACCGCTATACATAAAGTAAAACCGTCATTTTAATTTTTTCTCATTTTTTCAAACCGACCTGAATGACTCCAATCCAGACGTGGGGCTGGGACGCGGATGGGCCGCTGGGGCGTGGACGGTACTGCTGAAAAAAGAAACATGTTGATTCATGATTTCTTCGGCATTTCTATGCTTGTTATAGATTTTTTTTTCCTATTACAATAAGACTACAGAAGCAGACCAAGTCACCGCCTAATTTCACAGCTCACTCGTATCTTCTCACTCCCAAACGCAAAAACAATTGAACTACTGCGCTATTTCTGTTGATGACTCTCGATAACGGTGAATGAAACGAAGGCGAGTTTTTATAAATGTATGACTCCTGAGAACCAGAAACTTATGAGAGATGCGTTAGAACTGTTATGCAGAGATAAGGTACTCAAGACAAAATTTTGAAAGCTCACATTTTGCATCATGTCGTTCATCTGATTCTCTTTCCCTACCTTGACTTATCTTCTATCACCTCAATTTCCATCTCACTCCTACAGTCTACCTACCGCGCTATCAAACAAAAACACATAAAAATATGCCCCTTGCTTTTGTTCAACTCAAGAACCCACTTCTAATGATACCGGGGCATAACCAAATTGAAAATGGCTTGGCCTTCTTAAGGTTTACAAAGAAAATCAAAACGATCTGAATGATGATGAACTCGAAAAAGTAAAAATTGAATATTGCAGGCAAGAGGATCTACCGCGCTCTCAAACACAAACGCATGAAAACTGCACCTCTACTTCTGTTCAACTCACCTAACAAGGAAAGAAAGAAAGGACAGACTAAAATGACACACTTCCAAAAATACCGAGGCATAACTAAATTGAAAAAAAAATGTTTGGGTCTTGTTAAAGTTTACAAAGAGAAATAAAACGATCTGAATGTTGTCGGGCTCGGAAAAATAAAATTAAACCTTGCAGCCAAAAAGATCGAAGGATTAATGATAACCTATATCTTGCAAAAGATAAAAAAAACTTTCAAAAGCCTAAAAATTGCTAACTGTCACCAGAATAGTAAACCCTTATTGTGAGATAATTTTCAAAGCTCATTTCTTTCAAACTGACCTCCTTGACGACGGTTTGAGTCGAACTGGGGAGCCTCAGATAGACCAGCCATTGAAGACGAGAGACGTGATGAGGATGGCCCGGCTGAAACAAAAACTGTGTTACCTCATGAGTTCTCTGTTACTTTTCTGCTCGTTTTCTATTTCTCAATTTTCCCGAATAGCTTTTTATCTATTTGTTTCTAATTTTGGTACTTCAGAACCTCAGTTAATTTTTTTTGTAAAATGACTGTAAAGTTTCCATCTTGCAAAAGCCTAAAAATTGCTAACTGTCACCAGAATAGAAAACCCTAATTGTGATATAATTTCAAAGCTCATTTCATTCAAACTGACCTCCTTCACGATGATTTGCGCCCAGCTGGAGAGCGCCCGCTCCACGACTATTTGAAGACGATGGTTCGGAGGAGGATGGTCCGGCTGAAACAAAAACTGTGTTTCCCCGTCAGTTTTCAGACATTCTTGTTATTTATAATATAATTAATATAAATATTATTTTGATTTTTCTAGACAGCTGTTTACCTGTTACGGTTCTAAATTTTTATATTTCAGGACCTCACATAATCAACGTCAAACAAGATGGTTATAGAAGGAAGAGAAGCAAGAACAGCTACATCATGTACAGGGTGGTTCTTTAGTAGAATCGCAAAGTTTCATGTTCATGTCTCAATTTTTACAATAAAGGCACTACGTTCTGTACACATACTCTGATTTTTTTTTCTGTTTTTTGGCGGATCCTTGTGAGCAAGCAAGCGACCCTGGAATAATACTTCTACTAAAAATCGTGATGCTCAAATAGTCGTGCCATGAAGTTCGCAAACTTTGATTACCCAAAAATATGTAGAACTTGCTCACACGGAAAAACATGTTCTGCAGGAAGTGCCAAAATCAATTGTCCAACTTGATCTCAAAAAAAGAATGGCCTGTCTTGAATCAGATGACACTCCGATTGAGATTTCCATAAAGGGATTTCTTCAACTACATGTTCAAGTTTCTTTTCATGAAACTTTGGATGGTCTCAAAAGTAGGCCCGCGGAACGAGACAATTTACCGGCAGACCACCCGCGCCGCTATAGGCGCTACCCGGAGAGGTTGACCCCCGCCATCAGAAACAGAGCTATCAGAAACGAACAATCAAGATATCATTTTGTCACAAATCTTTTTGATAAAGTCCTGTCAAAATTTGACCCGGGACCATTTTTCGAGAAGTTATGACGTCTCCTTTTTATTACAGAACTTTTGCCCCACCCTGCATAGTTCCAATTAGTTTCGAAAATTTTTCCTATGCTAGACTGCAAACTTTGAATCTGTTCTACATAAATTGAGCACATTGCTATCCAGAAAGTGAAACCTTGATTTCAATCATTTCAAAATTCTCTCAAACGGACCTGGACGACTCCATTCCAGACGGTGAGCTGGGACACGGATGGACCGCTGGGATGTCAACGGGCCTGATGAAACAAGAAACATGTTCATTTATGAATTCTCTGCTATTTCTCATGAGTTTTCTTTCATGCTTGTTATCTATTTTCTGGCATGCTTGTTACCCTATTTGCAGAGGAAAGGTACTCAAGACAAGATTCTGCAATACTCTTCCCATGCTATAACTTATCTTCTATCACCTCAATTTCCATCTCACTCCCACAGTCTACCTACCGCGCTATCAAACAAAAACACATAAAAATATGCACCTTTACTTTTGTTCAACTCAAGAACCCACTTCTAATGATACCGGGCATAACCAAATTGAAAATGGATTGGCCTTCTTAAGGTTTACAAAGAAAATCAAAACGATCTGAATGATGATGAACTCGAAAAAGTAAAAATTGAATCTGGCAGGCAAGAGGATCAACAGATTTGTGATAATCTGTATATTACAAAAGAACAAAAGTTTCAAAAGTCAAAAAATCGCTAACCATCACCGAGATAATGAAACCCTGACAGTGAGGAAATTTTAAAGCTCATTTCTTTCAAACTGACCTCCTTGACGATGATTTGCGCCCAGCTGGAGAACGCCCGCTCGACGACCATTTGAAGACGAGGGACGTGATGAGGATGGTCCGGCAGAAATAAAAACTGCGTTACCTCCTGACTTTTCTGATATTTTTCTGCTCGTTTTCTATTTCTCAATTTTCCCGAATAGCTTTTTATCTATATTTCGGTTCTAAATTTTGGTACTTCAGAATCTCAGTTAATTTTTTTTTGTAAAATGACTGTAAAGTTCCAACTAGTTTCGAAATTCTTAGCATGCTCCACTGCAAACTTGGCATCCAATATCACTTGAGCTCACTGCTACCCAGAAAGTAAAACCTTGATTTCTATAATTTCCCAATTCTCTCAAACTGACCATTCGAATTCAGTCGAGGGGCAATGGATCGGCCAGCATTCGACGAAGCTTGCTGGGACGTGGATGGGCCTGCTGAAACAGGAATATGTTTACTAGTGAATTCTCATTTTTCTGATTGCTATCTATTTCTTGGCAAGCTTTTTTTTCTGTAGTGATTCTGAATGTTCATACTTCAGAACCTCAGTTCAGCTAGTTTTTTCAAATCCTATTTTTTTTGAAAAGTTACCGTAAAGTCAACAAATTTCGAAAATTTTTCCTATGCTAGATTGCAAATTTTGCATCTAATCTCAATTGAGCTCACTGCTACACAGAAGTTAATCCTTGTTTTCTACCATTTCCCACAAACTGACCTTCATCATCATTCCAAATCAGGCGGGGAGCATAGCGGAGGCGAGGAACCGGTGGCCATCCTTGGGAGCTGGATGCTGAAACGAAAAATGTGATCCTTCATGAATTCTCTGACAAGTCCCTGCTTGTTTTCTATTTCTTAATCTCCCAGAATATATATTTTCCCTCATACTGTCCTGGAAAAAAAACAGACCACCCAATTTCACAATTCACTCCCACAGGCTATCTCTCGCACTCCAATATACAAGCGCATTAAAAATATGCGCGCCTTCTTCTGTTGATTCTGAGAGTACGGATTCTCAGAGAAACCTAGCTTCGCGTTCAGTCCCCAATCCCAAAATTGAAAAATGAAAATTCAACTAACCTCTTCCATTTCCATTCATTTTTTGTTGTTTGAAGGGTGTCTCGACTTGATTTCTGGAAAATGAATCGATTATGAAGCGGAAGCCTGGGACACAAGAACGGAGGAAGAAAAAAACACACAGACAGTCTAAAAGACGGCTGACAAGAACGCGCAACACACTCAGCGGCGAGGCGGGGAGGAAATGGATAGGGATCGGAGGAAAAGAGTCAGCCCCACCCCCTTGTATCTAAAAAAAAATAAACCCTCCTGCAATCGCACACTGTATACTTTTATTCTTTTTTATAAGCGTGCATGGAAGCGAGTCGCTTGGTGGTTCCTGCGAGAGGGTTGATAGAAGAAAAGTAGATTTCCCATACAGGTGTGTGTGTTGGAATGAAGATAGAGTATTGGAGAGACATGAGAACCACGCGTGCCGGGATGGTAAGGAGGTGGGAAGCTATTCAGAAATAAAATGAGAAAGAGAAAGAGAGTGAGAGAGAGAGAGAGAGAGAGAGAGAAAAGATGAGGAAAGACTGAAAAGATCATAAAGAAAAAATGGGGTGGATTGAAGGATAGAAATATCACAATATAGAGTGATATGTCAAAAGGAAATACCAAGGATCGGACAGTGATTACAGATGATGATGCAGTAGAATGGACCAGAAACAAGGAATCCGATGAATCGAAAGATTCAGCTTACACGTTACAGTTGATGATGTTTGAAGAGGCGAAGAAGATTCTGAATAAGGAGTAGCTTTTCTGTTTGTTATACAGTGCGGTCCATATCATTAGATCTCCTCACTTTTTAGGGTTTTGTTCCAGAAGAACAGGAAGAGATATCAAAATTCTGTGAACGCCATTCGATTCAGAACAAAAAGAACTCCTAGGGGAACAACAACTAGCTAACCATCTCGCGCAAATTATTACAACAAGTCGTAAATGGATGACGAGGACAAATGTGTGAGCATATGAATGGGTGAGTGGGACGATATGATTAGAAATGACGCAGCGAGTTGTTAAAATAACGATGCAATTCGAATTAATCATCCAATTAGTAGTACGTATGGGAAGTGACACATTACTAACGTTCTGGCTCAATGAATGCTGAACAATCGCTCTAATAGCACACTCCAACAGATCTGCCTACTTTGAGCTCATATATCTCGTTTTCTGTGAAAAATATCAAAACATGGTAAACGGACAAATTGTTTATCATAATATCGACAATGAATTTTCTGTATAAACGGAAGAGAAACGTTGGGCAGCTAGTTCAAAAACAATGATGACTCATAATGTAAAGCAAATTTAAAATTTGTAATCTTCGATTTTTTTTCAATGTTTTCCGATCCCGTGTGGGCAAAAAAGTTGAAAAAAAATACGCAAGGTCCAGCTGTTGGTCTTCTTTTTTCCCGCGCAAAGTTTAGCACATCCACGTTAGCATCTGTTGTCCCTCAGTGAGGGACCCCCACTCGACCAGACAACAAAAGTTCTTTGACCGTATTGCTACCGAAGCCTGTCCCCTCCCTGGTCTGTTTCCCCTTCCCGGGCGGTCTTGTTTTTGGCGGCGTGGATCTGAGGTCCAGAAACGTAAACATTTAGGATAGGGGACTGCAGACGGATGACCGACAAGCTCAGGAGCTTGCAAAAAACGGAACATAAAAACGAGAGCTAAAAGAGAGAACAGAAAATTAATTGTCGAAATTTAGCAACGAAATTGTACGATCCACGGTATACTTATACTTACACGTTGTATACCTATGCTTGCTTATACCGTATACCTATACTCAAACCGTATACCTATACTCAAACCGTATACCTATACTCAAACCGTATACCGTGTACCTAAACTTGCTTCTTTAAGCCTAATTACCTCAGTTGCTATAAAAGACATCGAAGTTTTGTAAATGGTAAAATATTAGTGATAATATGAGTAAAATTTCATCAGTTGACAAGGTTTTGATGTCTTACAAAAAAACCGAGATAATTGAGCTCAAAGTTGACGTGCAGGGTGGGGCATTTGCAATTAAAACGATGGCGAGAAGGGGGAACAAATAGAGTGATTGGAATTTTCTGGAGTGAACTTCTCATTATGCTTTAACTGATTTTTCATTGTATTTTTTTTGCGGTTAAATTTTTTGAATATTTTTTCTCATTTTTCCAATATTATGCAACAGTCCCCCCATTCTTTTTTTTAAGTTCTTTTCTGGGAGTATGAGATGCAAATACACACAGATTCCCATACATGGTTTTTATACGATTGGGAATATTGTGCAAGAAAATTGAGAACTGAGGTGGTGGTTTAGAAAAAAAACCATAAAATACCGGGTGTGCTCTAACCGCATACTTGCTTTTCGAGCTCCAATATCTCGGTTTGTATGAGAGATATCAAACATCTGCCAACTAATGCAATGATGGTGATAGTATGATAAACATTTTATCAGTTGACATACTTTCAATATCTCTCATACGAACCTAGATAATTAAGCTTAAAATGTATGTAAAGGGCGTGTTTCCATTATCTGGGATTTTTTTCAATATAATTCTTATACATGAAAACATAACATTTATTATATTTGCACAGGAAGGATTAGGTGTGAAAGTAAAACATAAAATTAATGTTTTGTTTATTCAAAAACGCATAAACCAAATCACATCAAACAAAATTCAAAAGGTTAATTATTGGTTATAATCCCGGGAGAGACCAGACTGCATTTGAGCTTTTTTCAATATGGCAGACCTTCTTCTCGTGCAACCTTTCCAGCTACCTCAGCAAACATTTGCAGCGGATTCGGGCTCTCGTCATCCGACATCATTTCCGATTCTGATTCCGTGTCTTCAAAGTCTTCTAGAATTTTCTCTATCTGCTCATGGTCCAATTCTATTGTTACATTACTCACACTGAAGTCTACCATTGGAGCTAGTTGACCGATTCGCGATTTAAAGCTCATAGAGCCTGAAAGTTCAGCCTGAAAACAAAAACAATCAATATTGTGTTCAAGTCGAAGAGAAAGATGCAAAGATGGTCGTTGTGGTACCTGGAGAGACCACATGCCACGTGGAATTGATAAGATAAGATATTGGATTGCAGCAGTACTCAACTTTTCTTGGTTTTCCTGGAAATACGAAGACTGGATGTTCTTTGAGTTTAACCAATTTTTCTGAAAAAGTTTCCCCAGTGACAATGTAACCACCAAAACGAAATTTAGTGAAATTATGCACTTTATTGAAGACATAAAAAGGAGAAAAGTAAACAATTAATGAAACAAGAGAACGGAAAAAATGGACGGTCAGGGGAAATGGGAAAATAGTACAAAAATGAATGATGGCTCGTGAGAAGCATGAAAAAAAAAATCAAAGAATCTAGGAGAAACTCGCATAGCTCAAGAAACAATGAATTTTTAGAAAGTTAAGGATATGAGAAAAATGAAAGACAGGAAAGTTGTGATATTCTAGAAAATTCGGAAAAAGGCAACAAGTACTGTGTGAAAAAGATGAGGGGCAAGTGAAGGGAAAAATTCCGGAAAATGAAGGGCAAAACCGGAAAATGAAGGGCAAAACTGGGAGAAAATCAAATAAGGGGGAAAACAGGAATCCGCTTACTCCTTGTCCTTCCTTGCTCTCTTTGCTCTCGGCTTCACACAGACGTATCCCTTAGCCATCTGGATCAAATGTTCATCGTGCAAATTCGCAGCTCGCACGATCCATTCGAAGTACTCCTCATTTCCAGAAGCTTCCATTTGCTTCCAACGAGCCGCTGAAAAATGAGCAATGCTAAAATAAATTTTCAGTAGGAGATATCAAAAATCTGTTAACTGATGGAATACTGCTGACGATAAGATAATTAATCTATCAGTTGACAAATTTTCAATATCTAGCACAGTAATTGAGATAATCGAGCTCAAACTTGACAGTGTGGGAGCTCTTCTACTACAGATTTTACGGTAGCTAAAAATCTGAAAAACTCACTGATTTGTGCTCGAGTCGGTGGATTGTCATCGAACGTCTCGAAGACCATATAAAGCTGATGAGCTTTTGGTGGCTGGGTGACGCATTGAGGAATAGCTCCATTCCCAGCGTCATAGAGACACTCGATGAATGCTGGAAAATAAGAACCTGATTTTTTAGAAATTGAAAAATCTCAACTTACGAAGCTTGTTATCACCGGCAACGAGTGTATGGGCTCGGTGATCTTTCGCCTCCTGGAGACGTTGACGATACTCCTCCGTTGTCGGATTCAGAGGAGCAGGCACCACCATGGTCTTCGCAAATACCCGACGAGCCGCGTTGTATTTCTTGAAGTCGTCTTTTGTGTGTGGGACTCTAGCTGTATGAGGAATCCATGGAGCTGTTGGTGGACGACTTCTCACTCTAACTTGGCGTGCTTTTGGAAGGGCTGCGGAGCGTCAGCTTCTGGAGAGTGGTCACGAAGAGCTGGATGTGGAACGTGGTCTTCCGAAGCTTCATCTGCTGCTACTCCATTTTGGATGACATCTGGAGCTCCGCTCTGTAAAGCTGCTTCATCGTTGAGTTCTAAAGCATCGGCTTCTGGAGAAGGTTCACGGCGATCTGGGTGCTGGAGGAGGCCGTCTGGAGTAACGTCTACTGGTGATCTATCAACTGGGATGTCATCGGAGAGTCCTGGGAGGGGAACTGATGAATGTTCAAATTCTGGATCATCGGCTTCTAGAGAGTGATCACGAAGATCTGCGGCCTGGAGGACGTCTTCTGGATCTTCCTCTGCTATTGGTGGTCCATTGGTGATGTCATTTCGTTGTCCAAGAAGCAGAGCAGATAGATTATCGGCTTCTGGAGCACCGGCTTCTTGGAATTGGTCACGGAGAACTGCGGGCTGGAAGTGATCATCTCGAGCGTTGTCTGCCTCTGATCCATCATCAGCAATGACATCTGGGTGTGAACCAACCGCTGGCTGGCCGGATTCTGGAACATCGGCGTTGGCTTCTGGATGATCAGGTTGAAGGTCTGTAGCTGCATAATGTAGATATGACGGTTGCTGACAAATCAGAGCATCTGGAGATTGATGACAATCTTCTGAAGCTTCCTGACCGTTCGATAATTGCGGCTGATCATTCTCAGGAAGATTCTGCTCTGAACCTCGACAAGATGCTTGGAGATTGAAGTAAAGATCCAGTGCTTCACGATTGGACGTAAGCAGACGGATCAGAGCATCTGGAGAAATCTGATGATATTCTGAAGCTTCTTGGCCGTTTGATGCTTGTTGCTGATCAAGAAAGTTCTGTGCTGAACTAGGACAACCTGACGATTGTCCGGATTGGCCGGCCAGGTGATGATCCGGGAGACCAGACGAGGGTCCAGACGATGACACTGATCCTTCTTGAAGACTCGGATCGGAGCTTCCACTTGGCTGATGTGATGGCCCTTGTCCGTAACCTGAAATGTCCCCCTTGGTCATGTTTTGATCACTTTATCTTACCATCATCATCATCATCGATAGGCTCCAATTTAATTCTCTTGCACGCCATCTTCTCCCGAAGTTCCTTTTCCCTTTTTGCGTCTTCCGCCATTTCTGTAACAGGTTTTTATTTGAAAGAAATACCATCGGACATGTTACTCACGAAAGGCTCGTCCTGCTTTATCCAATTGCTCCTGGTAGATCCTTGCTCTCTCCGCAATTCTTTCTTTATGAGATGTTTGGGAGTCATGAAGCGTCTTCTCCAGCTGTCTTCTCTTTTCTCGTGCCTCGGTCAGTTGTCTTTGCAGGTCTTGGATTTTTGCTGTCTGCGTGTGCACAATTGGATGGATCGGTTGAGCTGGAGGTCCTTGATGATGAGCTGAAGTATGAGTGATGCTCAGAATTTTTTCTTTGGTTTTTGAATACCTGCTCCATGCCATCCATTCATGTTGGGAGCTCCAAAATAAGCCGGGAAGTGTTGAGGAGCTCCTGGACCCGCACCCATGTGACCTGAAGTTAGAAATATTGACTTTCTGAAAGAACTGACTCTATTTATTCCTAACCTCTTGGATCAACTCCGTTTCGAGCTCTATGCCTTCCATCATTGGCATGTGGAACAAATCCACAGGGAACCCCAGGGGGTGGGTGTGGCACTGAAATTTTAATTTTTTTTTGAAAATTTCGAAATTGTAAAACTTACTAAACTGGTTATGCTGAGCAGGTGGCGCTCCGTTTTCTTGGTTGAACAAGCTGTGTGGTGGGACACCGTTACCAGCCATTTTCTGTAAGTTATTAGGTTTAAAGGTACATAGCGTAAATGCTCTAATTGAAGCCCTGCCCTTCAATCTCAATTATCTCGGTTCCCATTTGAGATATCAAAAATCTGTCAACTGATAAAATATGGGTGCTATTATGGTAAATATTCTATCAGTTAATGACTTTTCGATATCTTTTACACAAACCGAGATAATGGAGTTCCAAATTCATGTACAGAGTGGGCATCCATTAGAGCATTTAGATTATAAGAAGTTGACGTAAAGGGGGAGGGACAAAAATTGATGGACTTGAGCAAATACGGTAGGAAAGAGAAAGAACAGGAGAAAAGTGCAAAAAAGAAGCCAAGAGAAGAAATAATTTGGTCATGTCTTTCAAAATAAAAAGGGAGAGAAGAGAAAAATGCATAGAAATGATGGAGATGAGAGAGTGAGAGACTGTGGTGATTCATACAGTTTCATGACCTTGACAGAAAAATAGGGGAAATGATGAAATAAATATTATAGAAGGAAAAATTGGGGGAAACTTACTAGTGAGAGGAGGGACCGACAATCTGTATCAGACTGTGAAGTAGGGTTCCGAATTTGAAAAAGAGGGATGAGCTTTTACGTGAAAATGAGTTTTTCAAATAGCTCATTAAAGGAGGCCAGACACCAAAAAAAAAGTTTTCTTGATTTTTTGCATAGAGAACCCCTATGAAAAGGTTGAACTCATGACAGGTACAGCGCAGCTACCGGCTGAGCTACGGGGGCGCAAAGGCGCCTGACGACCGATGGTCTACATAAGCGCGGCGCGATTTCGTCCCCCGAAAAGTCCCCCGAAATTTTTGCTGTCTGGTCTCCTTTAAGGCTCATTTGATTTTGAATGAGCTTTTTGAAAAAAAAAAACAAAAAAGCTCATGTGACTCTTTTTTAGCTTTTTCAAAAAGCTCTAAAAGGCTCATGCGGCTCATTCAGTGATTTTCAATAAAAAGCTCATTATGACTCATTATCCATAATGAAAGGAAAATTTTTTTTAATTCACTGATATCATGAAAAAATCACCATTTTGATATGGTGGCCTAACTTTTTGATGGAGTTTTCAAAGCAATTTTAACACGGTTGCCAAGGAAACAAATCAGGTGAATGTCAGACCATTGATAGGCCATAAAAGTTGTTGGCCTAGAATACTCAAAATGTAGAAATTAGACCATCGTGTCCAAATGAGCTAGAAACCCTATCAGGTGAATTTCCGACGAGTTATGGCCCATAACAATGGTGGCCCAAAGAACTCAACAACTCAACATGGAAAAGTTAGGCCACTGTGTCAAAATGGACTAGAAAGCATCTTAGGTGCATGCCAGACTATTTCTGGGCCATAAAACTTGATGGTCTAAAACTCACTTGCAAAAGTTAGGCAACCAAGTGAAAATGGCGTTTAAACGCTTGATATTCACCTGATATGATTTCTAGGCTATTTTCATATGATGACCTAATTTTTGCAAGATAAGTTTTCTAGGCCACCATTGTTTTTTTCAGGCCACTATCGTTTCTGCCCATCAGGGCACTTGATTAGTTGAATATTTGGCTAAAGTGTTTGTTGATATTATTATTTTTGCCACGTGAACACTTTTCCAGTTCATTTTTTGAACTATGCTTCCGTGAGCCTTTTTTTTGAAAAAGAGTCGACGTGAGCTTTTTTGCAAATAAGCTTTGATGAGCTTTTATCAAAATCAATAATTACGTCAAATGAGCCTCGATGAGCTTTTTTCAAAATCAATATTTTAGTCAAATGAGCCTATATGAGCTTTGACGTGGAGTCGAAAAAGGCTCGTATGAGCCTACTTCACGATGAGCTCACGTGAGCTTAAGCTCATGACTGAGCTTTTTTCGGAACCCTACTGTGAAGCTAAAAAAAAGCTTGAAATTCAGAAATGTTAATTTTTTTCAAAATCCAGCCAGGGATCAAGAATGACTTTGAATAACCATTTTTAATCCCGACGGACAAAAAAAATTGCTAAAGTTAGTAAATTGACAATTAGGAGTAGAGATAATAGGACCTCTTTGAAAGATTAGGTTCCCAAATACATTTTTCTGATCTTTGGTCTATTTTTAATTTAGATGAGCAATCTCCATCTGCCCGTTATTTTCCACCATCTTCTATGACTCATAGTCTTTTTTAAATTAACAGTGATGGTGAAGAAGGTAAACAAAATGAAAAAAGTTGAGAAATCAAAACAAGTGCAAGATGAACAGAAAAACAACACGTATTAACCTAAACATATGCCACCTGTGTGTCGCTAACCGTGCTGAGTGCCGCCATCCATGAAATTTGTATATTTCGTTTTCTTTTAATCTTGAAAGTCTCATTGGATGTGCCTACATTTTTACCCCAGCAAAATAATACCCTTGAATCGAAGCAAAGGCTATCAGGACAATCAATTTGCTCATCAAATTAACATTTCTATATGTTCTCATTATATGTACGCATTAAATTAATGGTTATTGTAACTACACTTAACGTTCACTGGAAGGCATTCAAATTGATAGGCTCATCTGCCCGTTTCAGAAAAAAAGACCGCCTTAGTGGACCTTCGTGATCGATTGAGGGGACCTTAGTCGCCGGAGAAAGAAGGGGCACCTAATCACCTACTTTATCACCTAAAGATTCAATTATTACTTGAAGCTGAGCGCCAGGTGGGTGCGCAAAATATTGAGTTTTATCATAACATTTTTATGTATGGCACACATCATTGAGCCAGAAATTATGAGCGTTTTGTGTAGTATCGATTTTCCACATAGGCCTTGGAAAAAGGTATGTGCTCTAAGAAGAAGACCAGGAAGGTGCAAACACATGTAAACTCATAAGGACAGCAGCAGACGTCGAAAAAAGAAACTAAGCACCGGTGGACAGGACGCTGTCCCAGGTAGAGGTAGTGTGAACACACGAAAGGATGACGTATGCTAAACGGAAAATATGGAAATATTAATTGAACATTTATCTATTGTAACTTAAATTTTTTTTGAAAAAATTGTGATGTGATATAGAGAGAAGAAATGTCATGATTTCGAAATGAAGGGTAAGAAACACTGGAACTATGAAATGGATCAGGAAAAAAATACAGAACATTAAATTGATTGGGATAACAAATAATGATATAAATCAAAGCTCAGGACTATATTTGTCGATCTCCGAAGCAGGAGTTTTTGAAGAAGAGGTTATACGGGTGTTGTCGTCCGTCTCTTCCGCCTCCTCCTCATCCTCCGTCTCCTCTCTCTTCCTCTTCCTGCCTCCCTTGTTCCTCTCGGGAACCCAAACGTATCCCTTGGTCAGTTGGACAGTGTGCTCGTCGAAAAGCTGTGTGGCCTTCACAGTCCACCTCCAGTACTCCTCCCCTGCAGCCTCCTTGACACTAGACCACTCCGGAACTGAAATTGAGAACCATGAAGTTCAAGTTGGAGTTTGAAAAAAAAAACTCACGTTTCAGATCCTTCCTTATTGATCTGTACTTATTGTACAGGACAAGCACCTGAACCGGAAACTTTACTTGTTGGGGAAGCGGTCCGTTTTGGGGGTGGTAGAGACACTCCATCTTTTCCTCTAAATAAATTTGAATTTGAATTGAAACTCATGATGGGAACTCACTTAGAATCTCTTCCTTATAAATCGGATTGGTCGCAAAGTTCTCATCGGCTTCCCTTCGAAGTTGTGCGTATTCCAAGCTCACTGGATCCAATAGGGCTGGAATTCCAGCTTCTTTCTTGAATTTTCTCCGAGCGGTGAAGTAGTGGGTGAAGGCTCGATGGTTGTGGGGGAGTGTCTCAGCATGAGGTGTCCAAATTGTACTTTTCTTGGCTACTGGAGTGACCGACGCGGATGGTTGGACGGCGGGTGCGGCGGACGACGAGCTGACATGGACAGGTGAAACCAAAAGAGCGCCGGAAATGCTGGCAGCGGTTGGAGAGGTGGCGAGAGCCGGTCCTGTAACCAAGATATTAAAAAGTTGTTAACTGATAAAATTTTTGTGATATTATGATAAACAATTTTTCAGTTGGCAACTTTTTTATATCTCTGACAGGAATCGAGATAAACTTGCTCAAAGTACCCGGTGAGATTCTACTGGAGAAAGGTAGTTATTGAAGAAACACGGGAAAAAGATCCCTACTAAAAAGAGAACAAGCAAGAAACTCTCTCAAAAAAGGTTCCAAAATTAACCGCCGCGCATAAATTAAGTAGGCAACGCCACAAAGAAAGGCTCCCCCCAAAACCAAAAACCCAAGAAAAGCAGGCGGTGTATGTCTCGAAAAAGGGGGTGTCAGATTTTTGAAAAAAAGAGATCTAATCAAAATTTATGTGTATGCGAAATGAAAGGGACAAGAGCAATAGTAGGATTTTGGATAAGGTTAGCAAACAAGTTAATTGTAGACCAAAAGTGTAACCAGACCAATTAAGGGGATTACAATGTTTATTGCTGTGGTTTGTCGTTTTTGAGCAAATAAGGGAAATCGTAACTCAATTTCAAGTTTAGAAAAGTTAGAATTCAAAATTTTAAAGTCATTGAGAACGGTCACAAAAAAAGTGGTCATTAGACTCCTGTGACTATGAGTCAAGCCATTTTTTCTTGTCAACGGTCCTTCTTTGATGTTCACCGCCTACAGTATCCCTGGGAACTACATCAGAGAATAAGATTTTGATTTTTGATTTCTAACGTTTCAAACGTTCTATTAATGATGTCATGATAGTAAGTTCTTGACCTAACCAGACACAGTGTTTCGGAACAGACCCAGGCCATGCGCATTTGTAACTGAGTACCCTCATAAACGGCAGCTGTTCTCTACAAGTCAGCAGCCACCTTCATATAAGATGTATCAAAGTAGATTGACCTTACAGGGCTACCTTTCGGACCAGACACAAAACAGACGGGATAGGTGAGAGCATAAGTGATATCATAAACAAATCGAGGGGCGTGAATGTAATTGGATACTGTAGGGGGAGGGGGGAGGGGGTGCTGTAGCAGCATTCATAATCTCATAAGTTGTTTCGAAAGACAAAAGGATACTAACAGTGAAACATGTAATAAAATCCCCCTCACACACACACACACTGTCAAGTTTGAGCTCAATTAAATCGGTTTTTTGAAAGATGTCAAAAATCTGTCAACTGATAAATTGTTCATCGTAATATCACCAATATTTTATCTGTGGACACCTTTTTTTTATCTTTGACAGGTACCGAGAAAAATTGACTTAAAGTTGAAAGTTAGGAGGCTCATATGTTACAGGTGTTACGGTAGTGTGGTCCAAAGAAAAAATTCTACACACCTGTCACCAATTTTTTTTGAAAGTTCTACCCATTTCCCAAGATGGAAAAGCAAAAATATTTTCAAAATATTTTGTTTTTCTTCGAATTTTTTTTTTGTTTTTTTTCTTGTCTACAGTACCCCCAAGTCAAATGACAGGTGCACCATTAGCGGGCCTAATGTCAACCAGCGAGATTGTTGTCAAATCCGGAGTCCCCCAAGGAAGTGTCGCTGGCCCCTTTATGTTTCTGATCTACATTAACGATTTACTCGGCCTCTTTCCTCCCAATGTTCATGTCACGGCGTTCGCCGACGAAAAAAAAAAAAACGCAATCCTAAGACAGTTTATTTTATTAAGGGTTCCCCCATTACTCCGCATCGCTCATTCAAGGACCTAGGTATACTAGTTGATGATCAACTTCAATTCGACAAACACATCAATCTTATTGCCTACTCTGCTAAACTCAAGTCCCGCCAAATACTGAAAACGTTCCAATCGAAAAACCCTTGTTTATATTTCCGTCTCTTCGACACCTACATTAGACCGGTCCTCGAATACGGTTGTGAACTTTTCGATCCATCCAATGCCACACTTGCCAATAAACTAGAATCTCCTCTTCGTTTTTTCACCAGAAAAGTCTTTCAGAGATGTAATATGCTCTTCAATTCATACACCGATCGCCTATCCCAGTTCTCTATGCTAACCACCCTTCATCGCCGCACCCTTCTAGTTCTTCGTACCTATCACAAAATTGTTATAAACTCATACCATTTTCCCTCTATGTCGTTCTACATTCTTCCCAGCCATTCTAACAGAGCCCCGTATTTGTTCAAAATCAACGGTCAATTCTTTGACTGCTTCCTTCACAGAAACTTGTCTATGTGGAACCGTGTATGTAAGGTGATAAATTCTAAGCTCAGTCCGGTGGCGTTTGCTAAGCGAGTAGGAGCGATTCCTTATGATATTCTGATCCCTCCCACTTGACCTACAGGACTCTAGTCGGTCCGTCTGGTCATTTTACTTTTTTATTTGTACAGGTCCCATTTCTTGCCAAATTATCTATCGATTTCCCCCCATGCATTGCAAATAAATATATTATCAGCATTGACATTTCGATTTTTGATATTTTTGGATTTTTCTTCTTTTTCTCTGACTTCTCATATTTTTTCTCTCAATACTCTCATTCGACTTTCTGTCATACCGAATAGCTGCGAGAAATTTCGCAAGATTTTTGTACACATGTGTTCGATAACCAATCAATTTTTTCTTGAGAACACATGACTCATGAAATCTTCCTTGCCTTGTTTTCTTGCATACCAAAAGTATAATTTGCAGAAGATGGACGTTCTCGACCGTATGACCGTTGAGGAATATTATGCGAACTTCCCAAGGTCTTGCAATAAGACCATCAGGATTCAGGCCTCTCCGAATTCGGCCTTCCAAACCACTCCCTACGGTAAAAGTTTGATTTTTTTCTCAAAATTTGAAATTACGATATTTCAGGGTTGAGACTCCTCGCCGAGGAAGCCGAGAAGGATAAGGAAGTCGAGAAAGAAGATGAGGAGGACAGGCAGGAAAAAGAGAAGACCGAAGAAAAAGGAAAGGAAAAGAATTAGAAAAGGTAAGGAGTTTGAAATGCAGAAAAAGTTGATGGGATTAGAACTGAATTTTTTCATTTTCGAAATCTTAGATTCGGGTTTTAGAGTATCCTGTCGGTCAGAGAAAAAAAAAGGTTATAGAGATGTCTATTTGAAGTGAATAAGAGAATACCTTGGACAGTAGAAACGAACCAACACTCAAAATAATGAGACGCAGAGACATTTTCTCTGCGTCTATTCTCTCTATCAGACAGCAATAATAGTTAAGAGTGAATCATCATAAAATTGTTTTGTCACAATTAGTCATCAGTTTCAGGAACTACACATTCCACCCATCGAAGCACTTTGATTTTCGTCCAATATATTTTTCCCATAAATAATTTTTTTATTTTTGCCCACATCGATAGTTCTCTCCTTCCCAATCGCAAAAATGGAAACAGTCAAATGTCTTCAGCCTCTTAATGAATTAATGCCTCTTATTGAATAAATTTATAACATCCCTCTCCCTTTTCTCACCTTTACTTTCGCTTTTTTCAAGAAGAAGAAGCTGAAATCAAGACAGCCCTAATTATTTGGTCCTTCGGAAGGATTCAGAAAAATATGAAAGTATCTTCTACAGTACCCCTTTCCCCCACAATATCCGATTACATTTACTCATATCGATCTGCTTGTAACACCCCCATGTTTTCACCGGTCTGGTCGTGTCTGGTCCGATAGGGAGGCCTGTAAGGTCAATCTGATTTGATGCTTCGCATTCGAGAGTGTCTGCTGACTTTTCCTCCTCTCACCTTCCCCCTCTGCCCTGCTTGGTGAGCAACTTTGACCTACTTTGGTGCATATCATCCGGAGGTGTCTGCTGACTTGTAGAAAACAGCTGCCGTTTGGTAGTATACAGTTACAAATGTTCCTGGAGAGGCGAGAAAAAACAAATGTGAATATGCCGTCATGGGAGGTCCGGATGACCATAGTATGAGTCAGCTCGATAGGAGGGAAGCCGGGCTTAGTCCATTTCTTCCGAATCCTTTTTTCATCTTGTTTTTGTGGAAACAGTATTTCGTAATTCAAAGTATTCAAATTTTCTTTGTTTCGTATGTTTTTTTTTCCAAAAAAAAACATAGAGGCACTGTAGGCACTTCAAAGGGACCCTCGAAAAGACTGCCGCCTAGTTCACAAGAAAAAAAAAACATCGGGCCGAGTGGAAATAGGGCGCAATTGGCGTTTTTGAAATGTCGATTTGAAAAAAAAAACATAAAAGTGAGATAAAAGAGATGCCGGTGGATTTCGCAATAATTTCTGGTATGTATTAGGGACCGAAGTTTCTGAGACTGATACTTTTCAGAGATAAGTATTGTATATTTTATCAGTACTTCTCATCTTTTCCGGTCCACATCTGGTCCAAACCAGAAATCACAAACGGACCATGGGCAATGCATTTCTGCTCCAGACGAAATTCTCTTTTTTCACTTTTCTGTGTTACGTTTTTTAAGATTTTCATCTCGTCACTCCCACCAGAAATTAATAGTTACACTCCGAACGACACGAGAGAAAATTGAGTGATTTATGAACCCACACATTTTAATTATCATACATAGACACCCCATGTTGTCTACATTCAAAAAAAAACCGAATATAAATAGACGACGAAAAGACTGTCATATTTAGCCATCTAGAATTCTAAGTGCATTCTCTGCTAAAATTTCCAAAAGAGAATTGAAAGATGAAAAAGAGAGGTGCGTTTCTAATAGTTTGTAAGTTCCTGATACTGACCAGACATTTTGGGAACCCAATATTTAAAAGTTAGCACTATATTGAAATTTGACAATCATCAAGCAGAACATTTGAAAATGTGGCTCTTTGAAATTGGCAGTCAAGTCCTTTCATTCTCCTCAAATCTAGATATATGTGTTCTCCTTGTTTTTGGTACCCCTCCCTCGGATGACGCTCGTTCCTCTTTTTTCTATGTTCTTGTCCTGACTTCAACCTCCCATTTCTTTTTGTCACCATTCAGGCCTCTCAGTGACACCTCCACTTTATTCATGTCCTCCTTCTTGTATCTTGTGCCAATTGCGGCTAGTTTATCTTTGAGCAAATTTATCTCGGTTCTCGTGAAAGATATTAAAAGGTGGTAGACTAACAGATTATTGGTGATATTATGATAAAAATTTTTTCAGTTGACCACTTTTTGGTATCTGTCACAGAAATGGAGATAACTGAGCTCAAAGTTAAGGTGTGCCTCAATCACAGCTAATACGCTATGTGCACGGAATACGGCAAATTTGGCTTTCAATTTTCTTCAATTTTCCTTTTGTTCCCAGCGATGTTCACTGTCAATTGATCTGGGAAAATATGGTTTTTTCCAACCACCCGCACATGCATTCTTTCTCTCTATTCGCTGCTTTTTCTTCCCATTTTTACGACCTCAATCTTGTTTCTCGCCTCTCTCGCTAACCATTTTTTATTCCAATCTTATGACGTCTCTCAGCCATTGACTCTAAAAAAAGATTGCTCATTTTAGGTGCTCTCCCATCCTACAACCATCGATTGAAGTTATCTTTTTTTTGACGGCATCTACAAATTTGTCAACGAAAGATTGGTGAAAAGTGGGTTTTGTGAAAGTTGAAATCTCTTTCATGAGTTTGAAAAGTCAAATGTTTTTTTTTCAGAAATGTCGGCCCATGGTTTCCCACACCATCCGACATATGGATACCCGGCTGCTCATCAGCACAGTGTCTTTCTGCATGCTCCTGTTCCTCCACCAGGGATGCCGCAACATCCACTAGCCAACATGAAACGGATGGCGCATAACATCGGAGGACAAGGTGCACCACAGCAACTATATCCTGATGCGGTGCTCAACCCAACACAACACCCTGGCTTTGTACCAAATATTCCAACGCACCATCGAGCTCCACACCCCTTCGGATATCCAGGAGCTCAGATGCTCCCAAATCCTCTTCATCTTCCTCATGGACCAGGAGCCTCAGCTCAAGGACCATCACAGCAAGATGCTGCCAATCTTCATCAGCAGCTTTTGGAGAAAATTAGACAGTTGGAAGCACAGATTGAAAAGGAGAAGGAGAAAACGATGAAGCTGAACACAAAATGGCTGGATCAGCAACAACGTCAGATGAGGGACGAGGAATATTGGAATTATAGGATTCAACTGAAGCAGTCAGAAGTCCAAGGCTGGCAGCGTAAGTATACCTAACTATTTTATGTTATATGCTATTGGATTTTTATTCCGAGCTTGATGATCCAGCATCAAAAACTGATTCTGATGATCCAACAACAGCAATCGAGCCAGATCCAATGCCAACTCCCCAAGACATCGCAAAAGTCCCATTTAACATGATTGGTAATTTCAAGATATAAAAAAACCAGCCTGATCCAATATGTTCCAGAATTCAAGGCAAAGATGATGAAGTCAGTGTCAAAGGTTATCAAAACGGAAGTTGCTGATGATGGATGTTATGGGGTGGATCCGACGAGAGGATCAGAAGATCAAGAGCTTCGGAATAGTACGTCTGGACCATTCAAATTGAGCCACGCGTTAGTTTCATATGTTCCATCATTATCAGAATTGTCAAGATCGTCAGAGAAGCCAGTGGCAACTGTGGAGCCTAGCAGACCAACAGAACCTGAAGGATCCGAAAAATCCAAACTGGAATCTTCTAGATCTCTTGGAGAGCAAATCAAAATGAATTCTGTAGAGCCCAGCAGACTAACGGAGCCAGAAAAATCCGAGAAAGCAGATCTAGACTTTTCTAGATCTCTCGAAGATAAACTAAATTATGATTTTGGTAATATCGCGATATTGTATTCTTTTGATTACTATCTATTGTAGATGCTGACTTCTCAACGATTCCCAGTCGTCCTTCACCTTCCCTTTTGGACCATCCAATTCCTCTTGCCGTAGATGCTGACTTCACGCAATCATCAGCTCCCATTGGTTTTCCATCTTTCCTTTCGGACCACCCCGAATTGTCTCCAGATGCTGCTGATTCTGACGGTAGGTATACATTTATAAATTGCTTACCTTCCTAGGCATTATCAGATTCCCTTCCACCAAGTCTGTTGTCTCCTGACGCCGAGGTTTCGCACCCCAGCCCATCAGTTAGACGCCTTCCGGGTCGCCGTCCAGCATATCGTCTTCTCAGAGATGCGGCGAAAATTTGGAAGCCGCATGCACAAGATTTGCCGAAGAATCTGAAGGCCTTCAAAGAATATTTTGCGACTCGGCAGATTTACAAGAAGACGATGAAAATTGCGCCGATCCTGGATCCAGGGAGCTTGGAATATGCGAAGAGGGTTCAGGAAGCCAATGCGCACCGTCGGGAGACCCTTGTCCGTGGCGATCCAGCTTGTGGTGAGTTTCTGAGATAAAAACATGGTTAACTTTACAATTTCAGCATTCGTGAGCTGTCTATATGATGCTTCCAAAGGTCCCATCCCTCAACTGGTGACGAAGCCTCCACAGGTTTGGATCTTGTATGCCTCCTTCCGTCGAGACACTGCGGATCAAACGAGGGTTCCAACAAAAAAAGAAATTGGTGAGTTTTGGGTAAAAATATTTTTTGATGACTGGTTCAAATTTTCAGCCGCCGACTGGAATCGCATTTCCGAGCAGCAAGGCAATGAGTTTTGGGAATGGAAGCTGAGGACAACGAAGCTCTATGATGAGCATTTGATGCAATTGGAAAAGGGGTACATTTGGGTTCAGCCTGATGTTCAACCAAGGGGACGGAAAAGAAAGGTGTTGAATGGAGAGGAGAGAGGAGCTTCGAAGAAAACGAAGGTCCAGCGAGAGCAGAGAGAATCAGAAGACAGCAAAGACGATGACGATGATGATTTCATGACATGATCCGGTTATTTGATTAAAATTTCTTTGTGTTCTATTTTTTTTCCTATTTCTGATGTTCAAATTTTTATGATCATATTCTGTAATTCTCCAAAATCGTAGTCTTCAAATTTTCTGAAACTTTTAGGATTGCCCCACCCAAATCTTCCGACTTGTCCGCCACCTTCTTCCTTTACATCGAGTAGGTATCACGTACCCCCATTTTCGACATTTTATAAAACTTTTTTCAAAATAATCCTAACTAGGTCAGTTCCGGTCCAAATTAGATGATTATTTTTTTGATCTTTAAAAAATCTCTATGGCTATCCGGTTACCAAAAATCGTCAAAAGTTGAACCGGCTGAACCAAGTTATGATTAGAAACGTGCGAGTGGGTCCGGTTTTTTCACTATTTTTGGGTTTTTCTAGTTAATTTCAGTCCGTTTGGCTGATTTTTTTTCTATCGATAGGAAATCTCTGTCGCTATCCGGTTACCAAAAATCGTCAAAAGTTGAACCGGCTGAACCAAGTTATGATTAAAAACGTGCGAGTGGATCCGGTTCTTTTTCCACGTTCTCCGTTTTTTCTGCCGAACTAGGGCCTAAATAAAAAATCCGGCTTTCCCGTTCGATCCGTAATTCTGATAGGTATGTTGACAAAAAAAATGACTTCATTTGCTTGAAAATGAAAAAGGTTAATAGGTTTTGAGTGAAATGCTCGAATTTTCGATGGTCCAGCTTCCACCTCTTGGTACGCGAAAACCACTGAATGGATCTATCTAATTGTTTGCCTCCCCATAAAAGAAGATCTCTAATTTCATTTTTTGTCTTCAGATTTTTCCAGGTACGCTGGTCCTTGAGATATAGGTCATAAACCACAAAAAACTTGGGAAAAATTGGCTAAAATTTTTGTCAAAAGTAAATTATCGTGAAAAATCTTTCGAAAATTTTGCCTCTAATGAATCCCCCCGTCTCCTGGAACATCTTTCCACTAAAGTTTCCGTTTTTTAGGTGTTTTGCTATTTCTGATATCTATTGGTTCCAAACTTTCAGTCCTGATTCGGATAGAGAAATGAACCAGGGCCGCAGGCCCTGCAACCGATTCCACTCGATTTGAAACTTCTCATGTTACAGGGCCGAAGGCCCTGTCCAGTCTGTACCGACCAGCGGAGCGAGCGAAGGGAGAACAGACTGAACTCAGGATCAACTGATTCCACTGAGCCAGGGCTGAAACACACTGCATCTGATTCCACCTAAATGCGCGGCACAGCCGCGCCTAGCGGAGTCGGCCGTAGGCCGAGGACGCTAGTCCCCAATTACAATACAGTTTTGCTGGGATACTGTAGTTCAAAATCACTTCTTTCAATTTTAACGTTTCATTTGTTTCATTGTAAAACTTTTCTCCTTTTTTCCGCGTCTATTCCCTTCACTTCCACCGCTCTTGCTTTTTGTCAATGATTTTTTTCTTCTAATAAACCTGCAATACTCAGAAATAAGTAAAATTTTTATATCATTTGATAATGCTGATACGAACATCTCTATTCTCACTTCTTTCAGGTGCGACCGTAAACAACGTAAATTCTCTATTAGAAGCCCACCCTATCCGTGCGCGTTGAGCTCAATTATCTCGGTTCTTATTAGAGATATCAAAAATTTGTCCACGGATAAAATGTTGGTGATATTATGATTAACATTTTATCAGCTGACGAATTCTTGATATCTTTCAAAGGAACCGAGATAATTGAGCTTAAAATAAACTTACCGTATTCTTCTAATATTATATCTGTTGATTCCTTCGATTTCACTAGGATTTCAGGTCACGTGAACACTAAATATATAAACCCAAATTAAAACAGTAATCAATTTCGATTGGATGGTTCAGTTGTTGACGTTCTGATCAGCATGGGAAAGGTCTGGGGTTCGATTCCTTCTCCTCGAAATTTTTTTTGCTTTTGTCACCAAATTTTTAGGTGCCGATTTTTGGCTCCACAATGGTTTTTGGCCCGAGTTTTCAAGTTATCACCTACACTCAAATTTTGAGAAGGAAAAATCACCAATTTTGGAATTTGATTTTTTCGAATTTTTGAAGTTTTTTTTTGTGCGGGTGTGGTGCGAGGGGCCGCGTCGCGTGCGGTGAACGAAAAACGCGGCAATTCGAAAAATGTTTTTCTGCCGTTTTTTCTTAGTGATATTCGAAAATTTCAATTTTGCAGAAAAAATACAGATATTTTTGACGATATTCCCTGGACCTGTTGTGACTTTTTTCGAGATTTCTGAATTACAAACACAAAACATTTTCAAAAATTTTATTGCAAAGCAAGTTTGAGTCGTACTTGCATAGGAACAACAAGATATGAAAAAAAGATAAATCAGGACGAGGAAGTTCCAAAACTGATTAGATGATAGAACAACTGGAGATGCTTGGGAACTGAAAATCTTCAGTTCAAAATGATAACTGAGCTTCTATCAGATTCATCGGAATCCGGATCCAATGTGATGACTTCAGGTGTTGTTGGTATTACTGGCCACTGAACATCAGCCTCATGACGACGCTCCATGGGCAATTTCTCTATGAACTTCTGGATCCTCCTGGCTCTTTCCTTCTTTCCCAGCCGCGACCAATTACAGGATGCTGCAAATATTTCTCCTTCGGAAGATCAGTAGATCAAATGATAACTCACGTCCGTAGTATGGAACCCATTGTCTCTCCGGTATTCGGCTCTCGTTGATTTCTGATATTACAAAAAACCATGATGCTAAAGCTCGAAAACTCACTTCTGGACCGTTCGAGTTCCTCCGGATCTTCCAGTTTTTCTTGCTGCTCGGCTATTTCGGCAAGATGCTCTAACCGATCTTTTCTTGGTGTTCGCCTCCGGGGGTTGCGTGGTTTGGGGCGCTCTGAATATAGAAGCCTATTCAAACTGTCAACTTTGAGCTCAATTATCTCGGTTCCTGAGAAAGATATAAAAAATTTGCCAATTAATAAAATGTTTATCATTTTATCACCAATATTTATTCGGTGGACAACTTTTTTAATGCGTTGACAGTAGTCGAGATAATTGAGCTCAAAGAGCACGTAGGGCCCCACCCATATTCTACCTTATGTCATTCATCCATTTTCCCCTTTTTCGCTTTTCTCAGTTTCCTTCTCCCCTAGTCGTGTCTTTTTTCTGTCCATCTTGTTTTTCTTTTCGTCTCCTTATTCTTTCCTATGTCTATGTGTGTGTGCGGGCATGGGTTCGCGGAGCGTGCGGTGAACAAAAAACGCGGCAGTTCAAAAATGTTTTTTTCTGGCGTTTTTTTCTGGACGAATTTTAAAAAATTGGGTTTTTTGCAGAAGAAAGTCAGCTTTTTTGCACAATATTCTTAATACCAAGAATTTATTCAGAACCCTGTCAACTTTCTATTCAAAAATAATGCACTCTAAAGCAATTTAACAAAGAAAACCAATGTAAAAAAAGCTGAAAAATTTTTTGATTTTCAGCTCCTTTGAAAGTCTATGTGTGTTTTTTATTCACTAATCATTCTTGTTCTCAAATTTTTTAGAATCTTCACCTCGTATTTTTTTTCTTGCTCTGATTGCTCACAATTGTGAATGTGTGTCCGTGTGTGTGCGTGTGTACTATTCATTCATCACTGTTCTTCCCAATTTTCCTAGAATTGTCAACTCGTATTCTTTTTTTTTGTTCTCATTGCTCAGAATTGGGATTTTCTGTTGTTCTGCCTGACCCTACACTAAAAAGCTTACCACGATTCTGTGGAGAGAGCTGAAGTTGAAGAGCTTCTAACGAGTAACCAGCTGCCAATAGTGGGTTCGGGGTGGCTAGAAGGGCATCAATGTTAAAGGGATGCAGTACTTGCACCATTGCGGATCCTGAAATATTGAATAATTTTTCCAGACCCAAAAAATACCTAAAGTTAGACCCCAAAACAGGTATAGAGTAAAAGGCCCTCCAAGTTCGAGCTCATTTATTTCGGTTCGTTTGCGAGATATAAAAAATCTGTCAACTGAAAAAATATTTTTGGCTCTTTCCGGGAAGAACGGTCCCAAAGCGGGACCGTCGGTCCCATCATCGGACCGCCGGTCCCAACGAATTGCGACAACGGTCCCATTGTTCCGACAACGGTCCCAATGTCCCGAGAACGGTCCCAACGTTCCGACAACGGTCCCAAAGGTACGACAACGGTCCCAACCAGACTTAATCTGGTAACCCTTATTGGAATCATTGGAAGTTGTAATTTTCGTTTCCACTAAGAAACGTATTTTAGCAACAAAAACGAACATTTCGCTGATAATTGAGAATTCCAGCATTTTTTTACTGGAATTTTTTCAGAGTGTATTTGGTTTATAATTATAGGCTTAGGCTGAAACGCTTTGTTCACATCAGTGCCGGGAAAAGGCGTTTTGGTCTAAGCCTACAATACAAAAAAAAACTAATATTTTGTGAAAAATTCATGTCAAAAAGTATTGAAACTCCCAAGTATAAGTAAAATGTTAAAGTTTTCCAATGGATTTTCAAAAGACCATTCCGTTTTTCTGTATTTCGGGAATAGGGTTTCTAGATTGAGCCTGGTTGGGACCGTTGTCGTACCCTCGGGACCGTTGTCGTACCCTTAGGACCGTTGTCGGAACGTTGGGACCGTTCTCGGGAGATTGGGACCGGTGGTCCGATGATGGGACCGGCGGTCCCGGTTTGGGACCGTTCTTCCCGGAAAAAGCCATATTTTTAACATTATGATAAACAATTTTTAAGTTAATAACTTCTATATATCTTTTACAAAAACCGAGATAATTGAGCACAAACTGCACGTATAGGGTTTGCTTCTATTAGAGCATTTAAAGGAGGCCAGACACCACAAAAAAAGTTTTCCTTATATTTTGCATAGAGAACCCCCATGAGGGGTTGAACTCATGACAGGCAGCTCAGGGGTACAGCGCTGCTACCGGCTGAGAAACGGCGGCGCGAAGGCGCCTGACGACCGATGGTCTACATAAGCGCGGCGCGATTTCGTCCCCCGAACTGCCCCTGAAATTTTTGCTGTCTCGCCTCCTTTAAGGTGTTTGGAGGTCCTAATCGGTCCATCTTTTTAAGGTATTCTCAAATTTGATCCCTAAACTGATAAAGACCCAAAAAATTTTTTCTTGAAACTCACGAGCTGCCATCTTTCTGACTTCGTTCTCCCAAACTAGCAAGTTGGCAGGGTCACAGAGAGGAAGTACTTGTTGAGCGGAAATCATGATATGAGACGCATGGGGTAGCTGAAAAGGAAAAATAGAGGTTACAAACTTTTGATGGATGGAAAAAGAAGCAGAAGTTGAAAAAAAAGCATAATCCGTTGTCATGAGGATTTGATAAATGCACTCGCTTGTGGTTGAAAAAAAAAGCAAAAGATTATTCACTGGAAAAATGGGGTTGGGGATAAATGATAAGAGGAAGGGTGATGCTTTTTTTATTTTGAATTGAGAAGGAAATGTGTGAGGTTGGCGGAAATTGGGGTTCGAAATCAATGTCAAATTTTCCGAATCTCATTCAGAATGTCAGCTGAAAGTCAGAGGGGCACTGACTGGTACTAGTTTGACAAACAACACGAGATGAATAGAAATTTGTAGATTTTTTTGAAATTCGAATCTCGAAATTATATTCATGTGAAGAAGACAGAAAAGACAATAAGCAAATGTTGAAAAGATCTTCAAAGACAAACAAAGAAGAATCCAAGAATCCAAGAATCTAAAAGTCCTAAAATCTGAAAATTCGAGGATCTAAAAACTTATTTTCCCATTTTTCCCCTTGATTTATATATTGTTGTGGTTCTTTTTCTGGTCATTGCCTCATGAATATGCACTCTGGTGTTCGTTTGCATCTACATAACACGTGGTGTGCAAAAAAGACATGCTGTGAGTGACCAGAAGAAAAAAAGAAGCAAGAGCGGGGGAAGAGAAAAGTGAGAAGATTTTAGAGAAAGGAGAATACGAATGAATAAAAATAGAAAGAATCCGGCTTGACTTGTATTCAAATTTCAAGAAGGCTTGGGTACATTATGATGAGTAGATGAAGAGAAAAGGTCTCGTGTTTTTGATCCATTTCATAAGATGTCATGTGCAAACTTTTTCCAAAACTCAACGTAAAAACCTGTGATAGAAGGATCTTCGACCTTTCGAATTTGAGCCTATTTATCTCGGTTCGTGTCAAAGATATGAAAAAGTTGTCAACTGGTAGAATGTTTATCATGATATCAAAAACGATTTATTAGTTTACACTTTTTTGATATGTCATATATAAATTGAGATAATTGAGCTTGAGCTTGACAGTGTGGGCGCGATTCTATTACATTTTTCTTTTAAAGGTGGGGGGACAGGAGATTTTTCGTAGTTTTTTTGTAGCTAGAGTATGCATTCTACCGTGACGGTGTACAACGCTTAATGTCACTCTGCGTACAGCTGTCGTCCTCGCCTTTATGTGTGCAAACGAGCGGGCGCTTTCTCTTTGCCCGCGTGGCTCAGTCGGTAGCGGCGCCGCACCCTCAATCATCGCCCTCACAAGTTCAACTCCTCGAGGTGCATCTTTGAACGGAATTTCGAGAACATTATTTTTTTCATGTCCCCCCCCCTTTAAATTTAAAAAATTTCTTTGGTTTGGACAAAATGTTTGGTCAAAACATGAATTGTTCAAAAGAGAATTATGGAACTTTTCTCGGAGAACGCAACCAGGAGGATTTTAAGAAAATTGCAAAAATTGTATTGAAAAAAATATTTTTTCCTGAAAAAAAAAAACTTTCAAAATATCCTATACTAAAAAAACCAAAAGCTTTAGTAGACAACATTCCTGAAAACAAATCCAAATGTTATGTTTTTTCATCAACAAACCCCTTCTCTATTTATTTCACCAGCTGCTGCTAGGCGACAGAAGAGAGACACGTGCCTCCTTCTCTTTCCCACGACTACTTCTCCCCCGATTTCTCTTTTTTGTTTAGCAAAAAAGGAGACGGGGAGAGCGGTGGATTAAATAAAAAGCACATTTGAAAGTTTTGATGAATTCAGAAAAAAATATTGATAAGATTCGATACTGAAATCAGAGAAAATGTGAAATTTGTCGGAAGTCAAATAATTAGAAAAAATCTCTGAAATGCAGAAAATAGGAAAATCAAGAAAATAAGGCATTCTGGAAAATCAGAAGAGCGATTTGAAATTCATTCGTTTCACAAAATGAAAAAAAAGGAGAGAAAAAAAATCCAAAAAGAGGAAACGAAAAAAGGAAGAACACCAAGGAAAAAAAAGATTAATCGGCTCGTGGCAAGGAATCTTCAGATTAGAGTATGTGTATTTTTATGTGCGAAGAACATGGAACATGGAAATTAGGGAACGAAATCACGCCATCTGTAGTGTGGTGTGGTCGAGTTTTCAGGAAACATGAAATCCGGAAATTGTGAGATCCAGAAATTCGAAAATTCAAAAATTCTAAAAGCTTGAAATTATGAGGTTCTAAGATTCTGAAATTCTGAATTACCGAATTTATGGGTTTCTGAACATGTGAAAGACTGAAATTCAGGAATTCAGAAGTTCTGAGATTCAGAAATTCAGAAACTCAGAAATTCAAAAATTCTGCAATTCTGAGATTCTGAGATCCTAAAGTTTTGAACTTCGAAATCCTGAAATGCTGAAATTTCTGATAAAATTCTGAAATTTTGAAATTCGGTTTCGGTGAATATGAAAGCTGTCAAAAACATGATAATTCAAAATTTATTCTAGTCAATTTGCTTTCTTTTCACATTTTCAGAATTTTGAAATTTCGATTTTTCCAAAATTTGAAATATCAAAATTCCAAAATAGTTTTTTGTTTAATTTCCTAAAGCCCAAACATCTTCACATTCCCATATTCAATATCCATAACATTTAAAGGAGGACTCCGACCAAAAATTTTTATTGTATGAAAATGTGTTAAAAGTCATTTATTTTCCTAATATTATTGCGAAAAAATTCAAAAGAAATCCGAAACCCCCGAAAAACGCTGTTGAAAACGAAAAAAATTCAAAAAAGGTGCCGCCGAGGGACGAGGATTTGAATTCCCGCGCAGTGAGAAGCCTAGGCCACGGCGCCTGAGAGCATTATTTTCAAGTGGCCGACAGTGTTTTTTAACGTTTTTTACCTGTCGGAGATAAAAGCGAAAAAAATTCGGAAAAATTGTCCGGTAAGAAAGTCGCGCCGCTCGCGTGGCCTAGGTTTCTCACTGAAAATCCTCGTCCCTCGGCGGCACATTTTTTTGAATTTTTTCCTTTTCAACGGCGTTTTTGGGGATTTCGGATTTTTTTCGAATTTTTTCGCAATAATATTCTGAAAATAGATACATTTTAACACATTTTGATGCAAGAAAAAAATTGACCGGAGTCCCCCTTTTACCCTAGGCCCCATTTGATATTCTCCTTTATCTATATTCATATTCGCGATTTCCATATGGTTTTATTGTCCTTCGTTCTCAAGACGGTGCACCCCCAACAAATTTTTTTCTTCTTTTTTTTTTCCTTTTTCTCGTCTATTTTTCTTCCCATTCTGCCAACAACTATTAGTTTTCTAAATTCTCCAAATCGTACAGAAAAGGAAATTACATATTCAAACTGGAGGGTCCAACAAGATTTGGTAAGTTTTTTTTCAGGTTTTCAGTACAAAAAACGGGCCAAAAGGAGTTCTTTTGAAAATTGGCATATAACTGAAAAACTAGGAATTTTCAAAAAATTATGTAAATGCAAAGTTTTCAATCTAGGTCTGTTTTACATCTTCCAAAATTTTCAAAGTGATCGGAAACTCAACAGCCGAGCTACAGACTCCGGAAAATTGTCAAAATTAACTGAAATATACGTTTTTGTATATCTTGTTGACCGGCACTGTAAATTTTACTCTTCATATTAGGTTGGCGGGAAAGTCTTTGTCACTCTGTTTGTTTAATCACTGTTCTCGTATATGGAGGCTGTGTATGATATCGACTCTAGTGAATAACAAGGTGATAAGAACCTTCCTATAAACAAGTCCCCATTTCCTTCCCTGCTCCTCATCTGTAATTGAAACGATATGTTTGTTCCCACTGCTATTCACATCAGACATGTTTTGATTTACCTCTTCCTATCTCACACCACGATGAAGGATTCGGAAACTTTCTTGAAGAATGTGTACAACACACATGCCCCTCACTACAATACTATTCGCAATTGGTTCCATCGTTTCGAAAAAGATGACTTCTCGCTCGATGAAAAGGATCGCTCTGGGAGACCCCGTGAGTTGGATTTGGACAAGCTGAAGCACGCATTGCAATCGGATCCATTTCAATCTAGCCGTGAACTAGCTGTCACATTCGGAGTTCACCATAGCACAGTCCTTGAAGGTTTGAAGTCTCTTGGAATGAGAAAACTTTTTGGTCGATTCATACCTCATCACCTGACTCAAGCCAACCTTGACCGCCGAGTCGACGATTCGATTACTCTTCTCACTCTCCACGCGGGCGATCGATGGCTGGACCGGCTAATAACCGGAGATGAGAAGTGGGTCTTCTACGATAATCACCACAGGAAATCCCAGTGGGTTGGAGAAGGAGAGAGCCCACAGGATGTCCCCAAACCCGACCTTCATCCGAAAAAAGTTATGCTCTCTGTGTGGTGGGGAGTGGACGGCCCCATCTACTGGGAACTTCTGCCCGAGGGCAAAACAATAACTGGAGACCTCTACACTACTCAACTACGAAACCTCAAGAAAGCAGTCGACCGTTCGGCCCTGAAAGACAAGAAAGTGTACTATCAACATGATAACGCTCGCCCACATGTTTCGAAACAAGTGAAGCAGGAGCTGATGGGATATGGATGGAATGTTCTCCCTCACCCCCCGTATTCTCCTGATCTTGCTCCTTCCGACTATTGGTTATTTGGCGATATGACACGTGCCTTCGAAGGAAGAAGCTTCAATTCCCGTGGAGCGGTCGAAGCGGCACTCAAACAATACTTTGCCTCACGCCCGGCTGGATTCTACCGCAATGGAATCCATAAATTGAGGGAACGTTGGAGACATGTTGTTGATAATGATGGACAATATAATTAATTATTCGGTTATTTTTTCTTTGAGAAATAAACTATTGAAAAAGTGACAAAGACTTTCCCGCCAACCTAATAGTTGTATTACAATTTTGAAATTCCAAGTTGGCCGCCCACCTTTCGGTGGGACTTAATTCCAAAAATCATGTCTACAAAATCTCCCAATTCTGAGACCTCCAGATACTTTTCAATCTAATCCAAAGTGCAAACCCGTTTTTAAAGCTACTCGTAACTGAATCTCTCTTTCACCAACTTCGTCATACATCTGCGCTTGTTCCGACATTCGCCGGTTTCCGCCGGCCACTATATTTTGTGTACAAAAAAGCTCCGCCCCATTTTAGACAGTGCGGACGATGAGGGACGCAGAGATTTTCTATTTCGTAACCTTCTCGATTCTCACAGTCTTTTTCAATTCAGAGAAACAGCGTGGTTAGAAGGGAGAGTGTCAGGCAGAAAAGAATTTATGCATTTTTGTTTGAAGAGTGAGATTTTTAAAACTTAGCAGAAGCATCAGAACATTGAGGTAAAACCTTTGTTTGGGGTGCTGCCGGCTGACTAATGAGCTGAACTATGCCCAACTTTTTTTTCTGGGATTTTAAGCATGAAGCTATCTTTTTTTTCAGATGAAACTCCACATCCAGCAGCCACAGCCGCCGGTGGTCCGTTATAGACTAATCTTTGTGGCGGGTAAGGAATATAAGCTCATATTAAAAGTTTATGAGATTTCCAGCCGATAAAGATTGTTCATGTTGGTGTTGTTATTTTCCCGATCGTCGTCGTCCCATTGCCAGTTCACATTTCGAGGTTCGCAGAATCTCCGCTATTTCTTCCAGCCGAGCAAATCATGTTTCAAGTTCTCTGATGGGAAGGGAACGTCTTTAAACTTTGAAATCGTAGTTTTCAGTATTAATACTATAAAATTGGGTTTATTATGATTTTATTCTTCTGATATCCAATTGATTGGTTCAAATTTCAAGGTTCAAATTTTTTGGACCTCAAAAATCCTGAAAAATTTTTCGAGCTACTGAAATTAGAATTTTTTGATAAGATACTCGTCTTTTTCCGCGCTTTTTCATCGTTTTTCCCCCGATCCAATCCTCATTCCCAACCAGAAAGTTCTCTTTTTTTCGATTCTTTTCCGATTCGTCAGTCCCGCAAAATGACCGTTTCTTCGCTTATTTTATCGTCCTTTTCTCTCCTTTCCCCCAACTATACCGCCTGTTTGCAGTCCTATCGTGCCGATCGGGGGCGGAGTTTGGATCATTTGGAGGTGATATATTTCTGAAATAGAGAGATTTTCGTGAAAATTCCTGTCAAAATGTAATTTTTTGGCTCCTCATTGTGTGTTGTCAATTGAACAACAACTGGGACGTTCAAACACCATATCTGACGACATATTGCGGGCATGATGAAAAACAAGGGAAGCCGTGAAAATAGGGTTTTAAGGAGTGGAGAAGATGATTTTCAGATTTGATTTCGGAAAAATTGAAATGAAAAAGTAAAATGAAGTTATGATATAGCACCTTATCAACTTTCAGATTCCTTGAAAGTCTGAAATTACGAAATTAAAAAAAGAGGTAGTCATTCCAGATTCTTATAAACGAGATTGCTTCGATTCTAGATGTTTGGAGATCAAACGTGGATTATTAAGTACAATAATTTTTCAGATTTTCAGATGAAGTTTCGACGAGCTCGTCCCGAATTTTGCTGATTTAGTCCGTTATATTTTTGAAGTTTTCTTTGAGAACATCGTTTTTTTGAACAAGGACTCTGAAACTTTTTCAGGCTATTAGGTTTGATAAGTTATCATTGATGTTATAATGAAAGAAATCCTGATGGTTAGTCTATTTTAGCATGAGTATCGAAACTTTTACATTTTCAAATATTATGAATTTTCAAAGAGCTCGTTTTGAATGCTAAGGAATTAGACAGTTCTAATTTATGAATCTCTCGAAAGATTTCCGAATTTTTCAGGTCCTCGATCAGTGAAATCATGCTTATGTTCTTGAAAATCCGGGCAAAAATGGACTACATATCATTTTTTAGGTTCATCGCCCATCTCCCGGTGGGACTTATTTTCAAAAATTAGCTACAATGTTTTCACATAGCTTCATTATTTCAGCACTTCAATCATTATCTCAATAAAAAATACCCGTAAAACTTAGCTTAACCCGTAAAACTGATTGTCCATTGAAAATTGGATGGTATATGTTTTTCCATGTCTCGACAATCGCCGGTTTCCGCCGGCCACTATGCTTTGCAGGCAAGAAGGGCGTGGCGTCAAGACTGTATAAACGACGAGGGACAGAGATTTTCTATTTCATAACCCTTTGGGCACACATAAGGTTTCTCTGCGTTTACAATAGTCTTTTCAAAGTACTCCGATTGTCTTGGACTCTCTAAGGATCCAGTGTTCACTCTTCACTGTCTTCTGGGTAGGCGTCGGGGCGCATTGATCTATGTCTGTCGTGTGTGTGCGAGTGGTGTGCGTGTGCGTGTGTGGATATCCCCTTTCATAGAAGTTAACGCTGTTGGAAAACAAGCCGTTCTGGCCGAGTGGTCTAAGGCGCTGCGTTCAGGTCGCAGTCCTCTCAGGAGGGCGCAGGTTCGAACCCTGCGGACGGCAAACTCTTTTACTTTTTATGAAAATGACTACATATGATCCAAATTTTCCTCTGCTGCTCCCAGGTATGATAAGAGTGTACACGAGCGGTATAGTTAGGGGAAGGAAAGAAAAAGACAATTACCGTAAAATCTGTATTAATATTGCGCCTCTATTTGAATTGCCCCTCTAATAGACTTGCACCCCTTGAGGGCACTTGAACAATAGACTTTCAGCCTTTAATTAAATTGCCCCGTAATATAATTGCATCTGCAGCAGTATTGCGGTTCCGCCGGGAGTACTGTACAATTTTTAGTGTGTGACACCGTGACGAACTATTGCACAGTTATTTTTCGAATTTCATTTTTTTAAACTACCTACCTAATTTCTGGTTTATTTGTATTTTTCTTTGTTTTTAAACAATATTTTCCATTTATTGAAGCGAGAAAAACGAGCAATGAGTTCTGAAGAACACCTAGAAGAAATTCCAGAAGGCGTACAGTTATTGAAGACAAGACGAGCAGAACGAGAAATGGAAGAAATTCAGGAGATTTTGGGAGATATTGAAATGTGAGGAAGACGATGGAGAAGTGAACCATGCCGAAGAAGAAGACAATAACTATGACAGTGACGCCTCGATTTTTTGATTTTTTTAAATATTCGATACTTTTCTTTTTTTGTTCAATTTGTTACTTTTTTTTGTTGATTTTCATAATAAAACTGTTTTTTTTTTCAAAATTTTAACCTCAACTTGTAGTTTGAAAAATAGAATTGCAGCCTCTAATAGAGTTGCACCCCTTGAGGTGACTTGAACAATAAACTTGCATGCAATATTAATACAGATTTTACGGTATTCAAATAAGTAGCGGGACTGACGAATCGAAAAATGAGAGAACTGTCTTGTTGAGGATTGGATCGGAGAAAATCGATGAAAAAAGAAACAAATTTCAGGGTGTAAATGATATCGGAGAAATGGGAAACTATGTGGTTTGAGGAATTGGATTGGAATGCTCTATTTGCTATAAAAACGGTGAAGAAGTCAAAGAATGGGAAATCGGAAAGTTTGACTTTAGTGATTAAAGGTGGGGGGACATGAAAAAAATAATGTTCTCGAAATTTCGTTCAAAGATGCCCCTCGAGGAGTTGAACTTGTGAGGACGTTGATTGAGTGTGCGGCGCCGCTACCGACTGAGCCACTCGGGCAAAGAGAAAGCCGCTGCCCGATTGCATACATAAATGCGAGAACGACAGCTGTACGCAGAGTGACATTAAGCGTTGTACACCGTGACGGTAGAATGCATACTCTAGCTACAAAAAAACTACGAAAAATCTCCTGTCCCCCCACCTTTAAAAAAAAACATTGGGATGTCAAAACTGGCGATCTCAAAATCAAACACAAAACGCAAAATTCAGAAAAAACTTCATAATTTTCTGTGTGTCATAATTTTCAGGCTTCCTTCTCAAAGTTGTATCATAACTCTAAACCCCCAAATTTGTCGCCCACCTCTCGGCGGGACTTGGTTTCAAAAATTATGCTAGATAAGCTTCTATAGCCTCCAGATAGATTTCAATTCATTTTCACAGTTTCAAAACCCGTAATTCTACTCGTAACTGAATCTCTTCTATACCAATTCGTTCATACATCTGCGCTTGTTCCGACATTCGCCGGTTTCCGCCGGCCACTATATTTTGTGGGCAGAAGGGGCGTGGTTGGAAATAGCTTGTCGAGAGGAGAGAGTGTAAGGTAAAGCATAATGTATTTTTGATTGAAAAGCAATTGTTTTTAGTTATTTCACAGAAAAATCAAATCATTGAGGTACTCAGTTTTCATAAAAAAATAAGTTCTGATCGCTATTTCTCTAATAGAAGCCCACTCCTTACGTGCACGTTGAGCTCAATTATCTCGGTTCCTATACAAGGTATCCAAAATCTGTCAACTGATAAAATATAGGTGATGTTATGATGAATAATATATCTGTTGAAAGATTTTTGGTCCTAGTCAAGGAGATAATTGAGCTCAAAAAAAAACTTCTATTAAAAATATGTACGGTGATTCGATTTCTCTGGCAATAGCCATTAGTTTTCTGACAATTCCAATATTTTCTTATGAAAATATCTTCATTTTCCAACCCCTCCAATACAAATACTGTACTCACTCTTCAAGTAAATCTTCAAATTCCAATTTTTATTGTGATTCAAATTCAAATGCCCAGCCGGTTAGTAACACGGACCGTAAAAAACGGATTTTTCGATCGGTTTAGTTTCAGTTTTTCAGTTCCAGATTGCTCTGCCAGCGCTTCTCGGATCATTTCTACAATTTTCAGCCTCCCAAATTGCTTTTTTAGTTTATCTTCAATTTTGGTTTCAGTTTCAAACTTGTAAAAATCACGAGACCCGCCAATTCTGGATTTTTCAATTTTTCTCAGATTTTTTCCACTGAATTCCTTGCTGACAAATCGAAAACTTTGCTAGTAAAATACTAGCTAACCAATTGTGATCAATGAGCAGCAATAAACAGTTTTTCGACCAAGTGACATTTCAGAGTTCAAATTCAGACCAAAATCTGACCATGGCCCGCTGAACAGGATCTCTATCCTCCTTAAACCAAAAAAACGATGTAACCTGGAAAAAGGAAGAAAAAACATACTTTCTGACCTTTCCAATCGCACGGTGATAGTTTGAATCTGAAATTGAACATCTGAAAACCTGAAAACTTGTTGCGAAGTTCTTAGCCACAATTCATTTATCATCATTTTTGTGTACGCAGTTTCATGTACGGATTTTGCGGATTTGTCTGCGTCTAGCTTTTTTATGTACACACGCTTTGTTCTCTAGTCTGCACACGTTTAGGGGAGCGACCTCAGAAAAAATAGTACATCTTGACCTCAGAAAAAATAGTACATCTTGAGTGACCTCAGAAAAAATAGTACATCTTGATAAGGACTAAAAACTTCGACAAATCAAAAGATTTTTGTAGTTTTGAAGATGTCGTTGACTGCTGAACCAGCATCATGTACAATTCCAGCTAACGGTGGAACGTCAAGTCTCAAAATAGCAAATTCAGGAACTGATAAGCTGATTTTTAAGGTGATTTTAGAGCTCAGTTTTGAACGAAACTGAAAATTCAATTTTTGCAATTTTAAGATGTTAACTTTCCAGATCAAATCTTCTAACAACAAAGACTACCGTATCCAACCAGTCTTTGGCTTTGTCGAACCATCGGAATTCAAAGAAGTTACAGTAATACGTTTATCTGGTCCCCCTAAAGAAGACAAAATTGTGATTCATTTTTCAATTGCTCCAGTAGATGTTTTTGATGCTTCGGCGGCGTTTGCTACGGTTACCCCAGCTGGAACATTCACAATTCCGATGTCTGCAACCTAATCTGAGATCTGAACTTTTTTCTTATTACGTTTTGAAAAATGAATAAAATCATCCTCTTTTTGTCGCCCACCTCGCGGTGGGACTTTTTCCAAAATTTAGTTCAAATTTTTGCAAATCTTCATTTGCTGACTCATGCTTGAACCAACTCCAATAAAAAAGACCCGTTTGTTTGACCCGCAAAATTGAAACAATTGGAAACCAAGAAGGGTATACACTCGCGCATGTTCCGACCAGTGTGCTATCGGTACGGTTTCGGTGAATTTACCGGTAATTTTACTCGGTAGCTTACTCGGTAATTTACCGGTAAAATACCGATAAATTTTTACCGGTACATTACCGGTATTT